CGAGCTCTTTGCAGACAGCCCATATCCAAAGAGTCTTACCCTGTGCTTGGCAGGCTGGCGACGCAAAGCTTCCTGACATTAGGCAGCTATCATTATCGCTGCGTCCTATTCGCACACTCTGTCAGCGCTAGGCGTAGTAGCCCTGAATTCCAACCATCCCCGGGCCCGAGGCCCCGGAAGACTAAAGTTCCCATTTGGGTCAGGATGTGCCACTGCCACACAATTGCGCATCAAAACGTGTGGCGATAGCCCTCAAATGGGCATGGTTTTCTTTCGGCAACGGCCGGCAGACACCGCTGACTTCTTGTATTAATGATAGTTACTAGTTCGGGCCACTCCATTAATCAGGCTCTAATCTCACTCCGACGACCAACATGCTGTTTCGGGGCCTTCTCACCTTCACAGGGCCCGAGGGCCCGGGATTGTAGCGATCTCAGCTCAACATGCGTTCATCAAAGACAGCGAAAGTGCCTTGGGGGATAGTTATATTTAAGAAGGCGAGCAGTCTCAATAATATGATCATAAACTGCCGAGCTTGACAGCAACAACTAGGTACCATTGACTACATTCACATTTTCTCAACAATAATCTTTAATTGTTCTCATACCATATCTGCCATGATTTACAATCTCTGGAAACATTGTACCCTCATCGGGTCGTTGGCTCTCTTGGAGGCTTTAGCAGCTAACATAAGCACGACGGAAACCTTTGTTGGGGGCACTCCGCCTGTAAGCACCCTCCAAGTCACTGTTGGGAATCTCACTAATACTTGTAGTGTGACGCGCTCCTCGCCGCCGGCTTAGGTGATAGGGTTTTATCGCCAACCGATTCAGGGTACGAGAAACAGGTGCAAACCTGGTGGGCTCGGAATGCCCAGCTTCATCCATGGTGCATTGTGCTACCCGAGAGTACTGAAGAAGTTTCCCTCACTTTGACCACGCTCCTAAAAGCTGGCAATGGCGCTGGAGACTGGCACATTGCAGTCCGGAGTGGGGGGCATGGCTTTCAGTTGAACAACAACATTCAGAATGGAGTCACTATCGATTTGAGCATGCTCAATTACTCCCGTTATGACGCCGAAACGAATACCGCAACGCTCGGTTCCGGAGGGCGATGGGAGAATGTCTACGCTAGTCTGGGCGATCAAGGCGTTGTCGTGGTCGGTGGCCGCGATGGCGATGTTGGAGTGGGAGGCTTCCTTCTCGGCGGCGGCACATCCTATTTCTCGCCCAAGTATGGATTCGCCTGTGACTCTGTCCTCAATTACGAGGTCGTGCTCACCAACGGAAGCGTCGTCAATGCGAACAAGACCAGCAACTCTGATTTATGGAAGGCGCTCAAGGGTGGCGGCTCCAACTTTGGCATCGTCACAAGGTTTGACCTGGAAGCCCTTCCTGCTCGTGATATCCACTACGAGGTCCGAATACTGCCCGCAACCGCTTCTGGCGTGGTCTCCGATACGCTGATCAAGTTTGCTGATCATGACATGTCGCTTGCTGATAACGCACTGGTCACTTTCCTCCAGTACAACGGCACGGCAGGTCCTGACATCACGATCACGGCCATCTATGTCAACACTGCTGGGCACAATGGTGTCGAAACGGCGTTTGACAATCTGCGGGACATTCAGTCTATTCGCAATGTTTCCGTAAAGCAGTCTGTGGCCAAGACTGCCGCAGGGTCGAAAGTCCAAGGCGGACAACTGTAAGTCTGGCTGATATCCGAACCCTTCGGTCAGACTGATCTTTATCTCTTAGGAGTGCTGCGGCGACTCTGTTGTTCAAAAATGATCCAGAGATTCTTCAATACTCCACCAAGCTCCACGAAGACTTCGTCAACTCCCTCCAGAGTTCCATCGGCCCGGAAGCCTTCGGAACGATGGTCTTTCTACAGCCTGTCGGAATGGACCATGGAAATATCGCAAAACAACGCGGCGGTAATATGCTTGGTCTTGAAAGATTGAAGTCAAATGCCATCATGTGGACGGGTGGTGTGTATGTGTTGACGAACGACGCAGACTTTGCGGTGGCGGAGGCTTGTTTGACTTCGATGTCGGACAAGATACAGAAATTTGCGAAGTCCGTCGGGGGCGACATGGACCTGGCCTACCTCAACTATGCTAGTCCACGACAGGATGCTCTCGCAGGATATGGCCCACAAAATGTTGAATTCATACGGGAAGTTGCTGCCAAATACGACCCGAGTGGCGCGTTTCAGACAAGAGTTCCTGGGGGCTTCAAGATTGGGAGATCTGGATAAGAGGATGAATCGAAAACGACCATACGTTAGGAAATGGCGCGTTTGTAGATAGGGTCTCTGAAGAGGAAGGACTGTGGAACTGATCTTGGAAACCAAGGCATGACATCCACGAAACGAAGCCCCAATGACCTCTCAAAATTTGGTGAACAAAAGTTTCTATGGGGTACAGCCTACAGAACTGGGACTTCGTGTTTACATGTAGACTATACATACAAATTTGTAACCACTGAAACGTTCCGGCCGGGGTGAAACGACATAAGCTACTGAAATCGTCTCGTTGGGAATGATGGGTTGCCGGTGTGATTGGTCGGGAAGAATTTATGATGCAATAGGCTGCTCAATGTCCCTCACACGCCATCGTGCTGGTATTATACCTGCGGAGTGTAGTCATTAACGATGCCAAAGATGAACTCTTCGTAATGACCGCGACCCTCGAAAATCTTTTGTCCAATGATACCGCCTTTGACAAGACCGTTAGCGCGTTGGTAGGCGCCCTTCTCATCTCTGACGATGAACTGGGTAGTGATATCGACCTCCATTACGTCGCCATTTGTGAGGTTGTACTTGACAGATAGGCCTTCGGTCTCAAGCAGTCCAGTGATAGGAGGCCAAGCTGCCTTTCCGCCCCTCTGTCGAACCTCCATGCTTGCCATGTCGCAGCTGACGAGGAGAACCTCTCCATCCTTTGCAACATAGGAACGTCTGCTCTCATTGCCATCGTAGTCGAGAAGGTTGTACCAGACGATAGAGTAAGGACCAAAGCGAGCGTGTCCCCAATCCCAGTAACGAGGACCATCAATGATGGACTGATTGCCCCAGTTTTTGTCGTGGTAACCAATACCGTCATCGAAAGCGATAACAGTGTCCTTGACGGCGAGATCGACAACGGTCTCGGCATCGGGGACCGCGTTAGCCCAGTACAGTCCCGGCAAGAGATTCTCGCTGACGCCAACTGCGCCATTCAAGTCGCAAGGGTAATGGGCGGGAGCAATCTGTAATCTCCAACATCAGGCTCTTGAAATTGCACAACAGTGAGGAGTAGGATTGGGGAAGTCACTCACGGCTTTGAAGGAGATCTTGCCATATATACCCATGTCCTTGGAGTCGATGTTGATCGTGTATTCAACATCAGGCTTGTCCAGCGAGGTTCCACTAAAGCTCCCAATGCCTTTCCAGTCTCCAGCAATACCTCGGGGCCCGTTGGTGAGATGAACCCCAGCATCGGCCATAGCTTCGAAGTAGAAGTCTGTACCATTGGGGTACACCCCCGAAACCTGCGCAGCGAGAGGATGCGGGTACTGCGAAAAATCTCCTGAGTTGAAGAAGACAATATTCAGAGTCTGGTTAGAGGACTTTGAAACAACATCAAAGTACCAAAAGTCGGTAGACTTTTTGGCGGCCGGGGTGACCATCTTGTAACCATCGAGGTTTCCCGCCACCGAGAGATGCTCAACGCTAACGGTCCTGTTGTGGTAACGAGGAGGTAGGTCGAGGACCCGAGTAATATTGCTAATTGCAGCTCCGTAGGTCGAGCTGAGCATCGCAGCTGCCAGAATTAGCCTGCAGAGAGCCATTTCAAAGGCGTCTAGTTCGTTGCTTGAACGAGTGCAGAAAAGAAAAAGAAAGAGTATAATGAAATGAGTGAGCGACTGGTGGCATGCGAGTATCAAATCAATCCAGGGAAAAGGAGCGCGTTTCAGTATTAAGTAATTTGACGGGCCTCGGGGCCACGTAAGTTTAGATGCAGATGGCGACTAGTTCCTCTGTATACGATGTGTATCTGATGATGTACGAATGCGCGGCGAATTGAAGCTCAGCTTCGGACTGCGGCACTAAACTTGTGCCAGAAACCCCTTGTCGAGTAGCCGAATGTAAGCTTTTTCAGGTTTACACCAGTCCCTGATTCTTGGAATAGAGGGATATTATCCCGAAATGAGGGACTTAACCTACAAGTCTACTTCTCAACGACGTGGAAATTCCCAATGGCTGTCCTCCAGCAGACGCTCTAGACGCCCTTTCTTCTTTACGGCGCTCAATATGAAACCATCGAATGATGAGGCGCCTCTTGTAGCTCGTCGTACTCGGACCGCGTATTTGGATTTTCGCGCGTACCACCTTAGCTCCAGTCAGGCTGGACCGGACTTGCTGGCCACAATGATTATCGAGTGCCCACTAATCATTGCCCCACAACTATATCATAAGGTGAGATGAACCCAGACCTAGCGATTGTTATGAGTACCATCTTACAGAATGTACCAAAAACGGTGGATGTGCGGCAGCGGATGGTGTCATTCAAGTTACGGCATTGCCTTGGTGCCCTTGTACCCATAATACCCAATACTCACCAAAAAAAGTCCACTTAAATTCATTGAGGGGCCATCAGACGATGATGGATCTTCGCCACTTATTAGAGAAATGGATTGGGCCATAAGAACTTGCCGCCCAAAAGCAGGGCCTCCAATTGTTGCAGCTTCTATGCCTCCGTTTACGATACTGGTAACCTTCATTTCCGAAGGTCCGTCAGTCAGACATCTACATTAAACCAGAAGGCTGGAACAGAAGCTGGAGCCGTTTCTACTTAAAATTATAATCGCTGGCCTCTCCACAAGCTGTTTTCACAAGCAATGCTATACTGTGCTTTTTGAGCTTTCCAGAGGTATATTTCAAGGATGAGTTCGAAGAGGACGAGCTCTGTTTCTAGTGTTCACGAAACGACTCCGAACTGGAAAGCTATAAAGACCTTAAGATGCCCAACGAGTTGGATGAAACTCCATGAGTAGATACCATTGAATGATACTCCCTATCAAAAAGGCGGTACTTGCAACAAACCCAACAACTGAGCTCTCAAAGATGTGATTGTTCAAGAGCAACACACCGGTCACAATGAAACCGGCGGATGCCACTGCATTCCAAGCCGCCCCTTGCCATTCGCCCGCAAGGATTCTTGGTTTATACCAGTCTGTCTGGACATGTATGACGAGAGTCATATTGGCAATGAAGAATAGGGTTCCTCCAATTACTTGTGGCATGAAGACCAGAGCCTGGGTGAGAAAAAGATCCATCGGGTTGAGAACTCCTGGGAGGCCAGCCACTGCGGCTACGGAGAGGATCAAACCGCCGGAAAGCATCACCAAACCAGCCTGGAAAGGAACAGTCCGTAGAAGACTGGCGAAATCGGCTGCAGATGGGATCCAGAGCCATGCTTCAGAGCCAATAAGGGCGGGTCGATAAATGGCCGGGATGTTGTTATCGATGGACTTGGTGCCGCTCTTCTCGAGGGTGCCGCGGTCGGCATTGAAAGCGGCGAAGATGCCGAGAATGCCTCCGGACATGAACATGGTGGCTCCGATTGTAATGGTCGCAGGGAGAGCAACGGTTGGGAGAGTATCGAAAGCGAGGCTTGGCTCGAGGGCAGGAAAGAGCCCGAATCCTGCATTGATAACGAAAGATACGCTGCCAACCACAAATAGCATCGTGACAATCCAGTTCATATCTCTGTAAGGAAATATTGTAAACATTCGTTTCAGCTGGGATCGCTGTGAGCCTTCAACCTCGATGGCAGGATCTTCAATCGAATACTCTTTTACGGGCGATGGAAGAGCTGCCTCTCGATCCATGTCGCATCGTACACGATACTCGAGGTAGTTTAGAGTTTGTACAACCCGACGCCTTTCCCCTTCGCCGACTTCGATTCCCCGAGAATGGGCGGCCGCAACAGGATCGAATCGTGAAGGGCCCGGGGGTACTGGGATCAGCACCGATGCGCGAATCATTGAGGCGCGGAGGTTGGCTGAGGCGTTCATGTTTGGGATAGAGTGATGCTTTTTTTCTATTAGAGGTCGAGATTGATGATAGTCCCTGCGATACCGGCTCGCTCGGGTTGACAACGGTAGAAAAGAAAGAAAGTCGGGGAACACGCTAGAGGATAAAACAACAAGGCGCGAAATGCAGCAGTCGCTATCAAAAGACCACGCGAAAACCAGAGTCGCTCAAGAAGAAGTGGGTGAACAAAAGAACACCAAATGAATAATAGTTGGTTGAGAGGGTTGCCATTTTCTACAAGCGATGCAAAGTGCGTCGATATCGACAACAGAGGTCCGTTCCCGTTTACCCACACCACCTTGACCGCCAGCCGGCTCCCGCCGTGATGCTATGGGTGTTTTGATGTGGGCCAAAGTTGCGTTGAAATCATGGTGAACGTTTCGAGAATTTGGATACCTCAATCCTCAGACAAGAGATGATATAATAAGAAATAAGGTTGACACACCCGCTCCCGCAAAGTCAATTCTGCTGCACGGTTGCCCCCTGGACTCGTAACCACAATGCTCCCACCGGGCTCACTAAGCTGCATTGTTGGGTCGGTGACCTACTGCGGAGGCCGCGGCCACGAACTTCCCCCACTTGTTTCTGCCTTCTCTGAAATGCAGAGTTTCCTCGTTTCAGTACCCTGTACCACCTATGTAGATCGAATCAGCTTGAACCTACCGTTCTTTTCCACTTGTCAGCTTGCTGGTTTCGAGTCCGTCATGCCGCATTGATTTATACTTCTCTCCTTCAAAACATGAAACTGACAGTCAGAAAACCAGCCTTTGCAATGATAGACACAGAAGCCTGGCCGTTCTCTCGGCGTGAGGCTCATTATCAAAGCTGGATTCAGCTCTACATGTTTGATTCCAAGATCTTAAAGGTCACGGCCTAACCCGACGTATTCTGACCGGCTAGAACCAGCTAGTTCTTCAACTCCTTGGCCTGGGATCGTCTCGAATTTGCGCACATGGCACCGATCGGACAACGTCTCCTTTCTTTGACGCATGGGCTAAGATCGATAAGCCGTCACCAATAACCCGAACAACATCAAATACATGGGAGCCGTTAAATGTCTTGCTCCACAGCGTCAAGGTCAGACTAGACAAGCTGTTGATTTGGACAGCAAGACGCTCGTCCTTGTCCAGCTGGTCACCAAGTTCCGTCTCTTGCACAAGACCGATGACCAATTGGATCAATCTACGCTCGTCCGGCTGAAGGGAATCTGAGCCAGACTCTTGAACAACCTCGGACAAGATTTTCAACCACTTTGTGAGCAAAAAGGCGCACTCCAGGTTAGCAAGAGCATGTTGGATGCTCCAATTCAGGGTCTGGGTACGCGCAACAAACGCAACGCCAACCCTTACTGGAATACTGAGGGCGTATATACATTGCAGAACGGCCTGGTTCATATGCGGTGACCTATCACCGGCAGTAATGATTTGGCTAGATAATGCCGCGGCTATCCCTGGTGCATCGTCTCGGGCAAGAAGCCGTTGGTCAAGATTGTGGCCAACGTTAAGGCGGATGTAAGCCAAGCGTAGGAGGGCAGTGGAGTTGAAACCCAACGGTCCCTTGGGAGACGAAGGGTCCGTCGTTGATTCGTACGTCGCTTCCCATGATTGTTGCCAAGCACGAAGCGCGGCCTCCATCTTGTTGATGAAGTCCCCACCCAGCGAACTATCACCACCAACAATCGGAAGATGCTCACAGGCGTTGCGGGTCAGTAGAATCTGTTGTAGCAGTCCATTAATGAGCACGTAGTTCCCGAAAGAAGAAAGTGCTGTCACTGTATGGATGCTCCGTCCTGCTAACAGCATATGCATCTTCTCTGGGAAAGGTCTCGGCGGCATATACGTGTCCCTCAGGGCTGACCACTCTTCCGCGTTAGGCGCTTGCCAGCTTGACGCGCACCCAGGTAGGTTGATGGCGACCTCTCGATTTAGGAGGAGTGGTGGCACGTCAAATGCAACGGATTGTAAGTTTAAGAGGGCGAAGGCGGCAAATAGCGTGCGGCGGCGTTCCTCAAGTTTGATACCTTCGGCCCATTGCTGATTGACTGGCGGGGGTTTCTCCAACTCGTGAATCTTCATCTCGCGGGCGAGCATGGCGACTTGACTTGACATGCTGAGGGCGTCACTTGTCAACTCTCGATCGCCCCATGATGCCATCGCCATGAGTATTATCATAGCTTGCAGCAACCGGATGGTTTTGCCTTGAGCATGTAACTCTGACTCTCTCGTACGTGGACTAGCGCTAGTCGGTGTCGCAGGGGCGCTTGGATCATTATCTATGGTGACGCGGTCATCATGGGTCAGTCGGTCTAGTGTAGGCTGAGTCCTTTGCTTTAAATGCCAAGAGATCAGGTGTCGAGCAGCAGCATAAATCTGATAGCCCGAGGCCGTTTCGAACCGATAGAGAGCACCGACTGCGGCGAGCGACAGGAGAAGCTCAAGACCGATAGCTGGGGCAGAAAATGTAACGCCGTGAATGAACGGCAGATGGACGGCGAAGCCACGAAAGTACCCTTCCAAAAATCTTGAGAGGGCACGATGTGATGGCAGCTTGAAAGAGCTGGGCAGCTCAGAACGAAGCTGTTGGGCTTCGTCGAGAATCTTGCTGTATTCATCAGCCTCAATCTTCCAGGGCCGGAGACAGTGAACCTGTCGGGGCCTCTGAGCCTGATGTGCTAGATTAATATGCAATGGTGTCTGTTCTGGTCTCTCGGGTTCCATTGAAGGTAGTCGTGCCGCAAACTTCGGCAACGATGAAGTTGCTTCTGTTTCTAATTGTTCTTTACTAGGCGAACGGCCTTGTGGTGGGATGCATTTACTTTGCGCAGCAAATGACCTTCCATGCTCAGGCTGAATGGAGGACGGAGCCGCGACCTGATCCGTCGGCGGTATCGCCATGATTGGGGAGCCAGCATTGACAGGGCTGGCAAGTAGAAAAGAGTTTGACAACTGAGTGTCGTCCAACAAGAAGTCGAAATCAATGCCATCCATTCCTGCTAGGAGGTCTTGTGACAGCGAGTCTTGATAGCATAGGTCGGGAAAACCTGCGGCTGCATTATGTGATGCTAGGCTGCTGACGGGCTGGAAGAGAGCAGCTTCATTTCCCAACAGCTGCGGTCTGGCATCATATCCATGTTGATGAGGAAATGTTAGTGCTCCCGACAAAGACGGCGGTGAGGGAACCTCAGCACCAGTCGCCGCAGTTGACAATGGCCCTTCGGCGATTGTCGTTTCCCCTAACGAAGCAGACAGGTCATCTGGGCTTGCAATGATTCCGTCGGCATGAGATATTCGCTGATGTCTTGAAAGTAGATCCCTATCGAGTTGTGAGCAAAAGAAGCCCCTCTGGGAACTGAGGTGTGACTGGGGACCGTACCTTCGAGAGAATCTCCGACCACATTCGCACAGGAAGGGTTGTTCTCGGGTGTCTGGGCATTATCATTAGCGAGTCTCTGGCCACCCTTGCATAGAAGTTCACGGAGCCCAATGTCAGGACGTCAGGGTATGTTGTGTACAGCGGGAGGTTGGGGTCCGGCTTACGGGTGCGTTCATGACGTTCGAGGTGCTCGAATCTCCTGAACTGTTTTTGACAGAACCTGCAAGGTGGGACGTTGCGGCGAGGTCTGCCGCGGGGCGTAGACATGACGAAACTTCAAGCAGACAATCCCAACGTTTACGGCTTTGTAATTAGCATGCAGCCTGTCTATCGAGATGCGAGATCTGTGGCTACCACAACGTCTGACTACGCTCCGTCAGCCACTGCAGATGAGCTCGGGACAGATGGAGTTGGAGGTAAAAATCGTTGGGGTAGAAATTAGTTTTGACCCCTCTAACACGGACCTATTCTTCCAAGTGGGTATCCCGGTAGTGCCGCTTGTGTCACCAACATCCCTTACATGGCGAATTCATCAAAACAAACTCACTGATCCTCTAGTAAGAATCAGACGCATTCCAGTTTGAAAGAAAGAGGGTAGAATACTGGGGAGATCCGATATATCAAAGTGTGATTTCAATTGTGAGTATTCAAGTAAATTTTGAAAACATCGTAGACCGTAAAACTATGTACAAGAAAAAGGAAATTGTGTTTAACGACTGTTTACATGAGATCCTTGGTGAGATCAAATTCGGCGCACTTGTAGTCAGACTTGGTATTGAACGGGTTTCGGTGCAGCTCCTTGTTGCCATCTTCGCACTTGGACTTGGGCCACAACAGACCAGCCTGGCCCTCCTGGCCGGGGAAATTGCCTGCCATCCATATTGACCCCTTGGAGACATCGCTGTAGTTACCCTTGAGTACAGGCATAGCAAAGAAGCAGGGTGGGGGCGTTTTGCTTGCCCAGCTGCCCTCGCGGATGCCCGTCTTGCCGATGTGGCCATTGTTATTCTCCCAGCATTCGACGGCGTTGCGGAGGGTTCCGAGTTTGTCCATGTTCCAGTCGGTCCACAGAGCCTCCATGTCCTTATTCCCGCCAAGGGTTTGAGAGACCTTCTTGGGGTACCAGGCAAGAATGTCGAGGCAGCGGTTCTTGTTTGCCTCCCAAGCATTGTTCGGGTTCGTGCACTTGTCGACGGGAAGGTCGTCTCTGACGACGACATAGGCTCCTCGAAATTGCCTGGCCATCTGCCAGATGAGCGCCTGGTCCTGTTTTTCAATTAGTATGAAAGTCATGCGAGCCATGCAATATTCACTCACCAAGTTGGTCTTCATATTGCTTATCACGTCGTCCAAATTATTGAGGGGATGGTCCCTCAGCCAAGATCCCCAACCGAAGACGGACACCGCCGGGTTTTTGACACCACCGACGCGCATAAGTTCGGGAATGTCAGTCTGCTTGTGGCCTTGCTTGCCGAAAGTTGAGGCCACAATTGCCTTGATGTTAGCGAAGCCCTGCTTAGCGACAATGGCAAGTAGTCCCCGGATCGTGTCCGTCGCTTCCACTGCATCATCAGAACCGCCGCTGTAAGAATTGTTAGTAGTCTTCACG